CATGTTCGATGTTAACATTCTTGTTCGACCGGATCATGTTGTGTAAGGTATTATCATTGCAACTACACTTGTGTGGCCACCTATGTAGTCTGACCCGGAGATTAAAAGTTCTGTTTTATAGCAATCAAATATTTGCCCAAGTGGGAGAATGTTAGAATAATTCAATTATGTGGGCTTCCATTTAATTGCGAATTTTAAGAATTACATGTATAGTTTGCAATGATATTATAATTAGCCCAATATGTTAGTGATCACTTAGGCCATTGTACACCTTTCAGACTTTATTATTTATAATGTGATAATTTTAAGTATGTGGGCCGGAATTTTGTAAACCCAATTAGGGTTTGAGTCGGTAATTGGCCGACTTTATAAATTCCTATTTAAAAGATAGGCCCACATCTCCTTTCCATATGTATTTGGCTTACCCCATTGATAGTCGATTATTTTGAGGAGTAAGGAGAAAAAAAATCTAGCTGGTAGTATTCACACACACACAAAATGTCTTCCGTGGATATGAATTTCGTACTATTAATTGATATATGTGATTCTTGTTCTTAGCATATTTATTAAATAATTACAACACATGCACCTATGAACACTCTTAGCATATTTATTGAATATTTTAGGGTACTTGGCCTAATTTGCCCTTTTTTATTTCTTTACATTAGGCTTTCATTTGGGCTGGGGTATAGGGCTCCACTCTTTAACAATTGATACACTAGGGACAAAGTTTATGAAGGACAAAAAAAAGGTAAACTCAAAACATCATTAGTGAGGACCAAGTAAGAGATACTCCAAAGGATACATCATATCATATTCCCATTCTGGAAGAGCAAGAGAATGAGAAGTAGAGAAAATAGAACTTCATTTATTTCGTGTTCATTAATGGATTGGCTATGAAAAGTTGAGGAATTGGGGGGTGGTGTGTCCATGTTCAGGTCCCAATTTCTGCAATACTCTGTAAGGCTGGTCTCCATTGCCCTCCTCCGCCATGGTGCCTGCCCGTACCTCTGCCACCACGGCTGCTACCAGGGTGTTGCGCATCCTGCTCTGTCTGAAAAATGGGCACAAGGAATCACATAACCGAACAATATTCAACAAAAGAAAAATAGTAATAAGTGATCATTGCACGCTAGGTTAGTTTAATTCGATACTATTTATGCTGAGATCACACCACTCGTGCGACCGAGTTTAGAGAAAGTGAAAATCAGAATAAGTTAAAGCAAATACAACCCTTCACATTCAATCACATCTGTTTGCCATTTTGGCAGTTGAAGTACAATTATTGAGCTAAGCAATGACAAATTAAGTTAGCTGACAAAAATTTGCTGATGTGTTCTCATAATTATGTTGGGTACTAGGTCTAATAATCTAGAACCGAGCTGCATTGTTAGGGAGGGACAGAACACACACATTAGGAGGGAGGGAAGCATTTTTCTTCATTTTTTATTTCATGCGATCTCACGTTGCACCCACACTCATGTGAGGTTAGGTCAACCAGGTGGGCAAACTAATTCGGACAATCTAGCTTAATTCAATAATCTATGATTTGACAGATCAACAAATGTGATTCGAATGAGAGAATTTTTATAAGCTAAATGAAATGCCACGTCATCCCACGGCCGATCTCAAATCCTCGTTAACAAGAAAAGTCGTCGCGGTAGGTTTGATAGAATCATAATCGTTAAACTACATTACACACTTGTGCTTGCTTAACTTAAATTGCAAGGGGTTTATCATCACGAGTCAAAAAAAATGTTAGTACAATAGTTCGATGATACTTTTGTCTGCAGTTGTCACTTGTCACCAACCTCTCGTAATATCAGGAGTACTGCCTTTTAATTAAAGTTTAATTAAGTAAAATATGTTACTTAATTAAAGCACTGAAGATTCTCGACAATAAGTGCTTCTCGGCTGTTGTCAGATCTCAGCACCAAATAAAAAT